TAAGGGCGATGGAAGCTGGCTTGTCTGTTAAAGACTATATATGTATGTGTATATATATATATGTATATATCTATGTGTATGTTTACGTATATATATGTGTATATTTATCTATGTATATGTATATGTGTGTGCATGGTATACGCGCGTATGTTTTATAAAGAGACAAATACTCTGCTGTTGAAACCAGCCTTCTTGCTGTCCCCGTACCAGTGTCTGGAAGTGCTGTCTGTAAGTGAATGGGAATAAAATTTTGAATTCGGTTTATTCTCAGTAATAACTTGGGGTCATGCCTTTGAAAACTCCTGCTCCAAGGCCAGGCGGGGCTCAGTTAAAGCCGTGGTGGTGCAGCGCTGGGTCAGCCGGGTGAGCGCAGCGAGCCCAGGTTTCCCAGCAGAAAGCTGGGAGAGCCGGATTGAGCCTCTGGTGGTTTGTCTTTGTAAGTCGAAAACGTTACCTGAAGCTGAGGCTCAGCTCTGGTGTGTTCCTGTGCCCTCAGGCGCACGTGGGAGCACCTGGCAGCTTGGTGGGAGCACCGTGCAGGTGGTTGCACACGGGGGACCGGAATATCCTCGTCCGTATCCCTCTGAAGATGCGGAGTGTAGAGGAGCAGTGGCAAAATTTGTGAAAAGCTGTGTCTTTATACGTGCTTTGGAGGAGCAGAGATGGTGAAAAGGGTGCAGCATGATGGCGTGTGAGGTCTATCTTAGGAGGACTCACAGTTTGGGGGTCTCACTGCCTGCATGGTGAGCTCCCGTCTCGGGGTTCTCTGTTGTGTGTCTCCTCTCCTGCGTTGTGAGCCTACAGTTACACCTGTACCAGCAAGAGTAATTTGAGGGCCGCTGTGTTCCTTCCTGACTGGTATTTTTTTCTAGGATGCCTAGAGGAGGATGTCAGAAGACTAGTTTTAGTATTCAGTAGGTAAATGTAGGCCGTTTAATTAATTTAGTTAGCAAAACAAAACTTTGGGGGGAAAAAAACTTGCCCACTGCAGACTAATTGTATGTGTTCAAAAAAAAGAAGCGGAAACAAATTTAATGTTTTCCAAACTTGGAAAACAGTTGCTTTTAATACATTTGGCATTCTACAGCAGACACTTTACAAAAAATGCTGTGTTGTGCCAACATTTCCCCCCCCCCCATTTGATGTAATTGCTTAACTAAGTGAACTTTTTTATGTCTGCATTTAACTAGAGATGTTATTAAAATGTAGAGTGCTCCTGACTCTGTCTGTATCAGGGAGGCACAGACAGCACTTAAGTTGGCCTCTGGGTGATAGGGCCAACTTCCTTCTTCACTTTCCTAGTTATACAGTACTAAGGGAAGATGGCAGGTGGTTAATTGAAATTGCCTCTCCAAAATGACTACTTTGAAAGTTCTAATAACAGGGTTCTTGGATATTTTATGCTTAGTAAACTCGGTACCTTGTTATTCTTTTTTTTTCTAAATCCCTACATAGTTTTCCTGGGTTTGGTTTTTTTTTTAGCCAAGTGTGTCATTTAAAGCATTACCAAGCATCAGTCTCTTTTTCTCTTTATTTTTTTTTTTTGGTTCTGAGCACCCACAGAAAAACTTGCTATTGCCACTCTAATTTAGTCCCTTTTTCCAGTGGCAGTCGTGCTGACTTTGTCCCTTCATGCTTCCTTGCTGCAGTTATTGCCTGAAAGATGTTGTGTCCTTCTCTCTTTAGTTCTACAGTTTGTTTATAAAGCATTGTTATTTTTACTGCCCATGGATCTAGTACGTTTGTGTAAGATAACAAGAAAAACAGGTGGTTTTTTCCTTACTGAAAAGATTGATACACCACTGCCTTCTGCATAGTTTTTTGTGGTGTGTTATATCTCTTTATTGTGGCAGGGAAGTAACAACATCATGGTGGGTCATTTTTACTATCTATACAAGTTGTTTGCTTTGAAAAGTGTCCCCCCAGTCCCAAATTGCTGATTTTTTTTGGAAAACTTTCCATATGAGGTTGTGTCTTTTTTTTTTTTTTCCCTATTGTGTTCAGCCTTTGAGAGCTCGAGGAGGTTGCTGTGTGCTGGTGGTGTGTTCAGCTATCGCTGCTCTGTGTTTTTAACGTTCCCTTCTGCATGCTTGAGTAGGCAGTTGATAGGCAGTCGTAGAAGCAATGAATTTTGGAAGGTTATGTCTGCAGGCCTGTGGAGATTAAATGTGCTCAGCTCACTACTGTTATGTAATACTGGTGCACTTGGCTCATTCTGGGACTGTTAAGCCTCTTCATTTACTATTCTGAGGCTTTAGCGTGGCATAAGGAAGGAAAGACTAGAGGGAGTACCCTGAAAGAGGGAGAGGAGATGTAGTGAGCAAATGTGGCCTAGCTGAGATTCAGAGCAAATTATACAGAGTTTCCTGAATTATGGTGGTTTTTTTTTTTTTTTAATGTTTCATGATCTTCCTGAGCACTGGAGCATGATGCTCCCCATGAGATTTTCCAAGAGCAGGAACAGACTTGGAGGATTTTTAATGACTTGAGAGAAACCAGAGAGAAGAGCGGAGAATTGCTGTGATGTTGGAGTTTGAACTTTCTGATGGGGAAATTCCTTGATGCTGTTTCATAAACTTTCCCAAAGTATTCAGTCGACTTATTTAAAGTCCCTTTTTGTGAAACTGAATATAAGATAGTCTTTTGCTTAAATATATAAGGAAAATGCACTTAGTAGCAAATGGTTATTTAGACTGAAGTAAAGAATGATTGCCCGTACAATATATCATATTCCAGCAAAATTTTTTCAGTATTTATTTCAAGCAGATATCTGTACTGACTATTACACTATTCGAATTAGTGCCTGTTCCCTGCATCCAGGTGGATTTTGGAAGACATACAACTAGTCAAAAGCCTCTATTTTCTTTGCTTTGTGTGACTTGGTGTTCAAGTGTTCTGAGTATGCCAGCTTTTTCTTTCAAATTGGTCTGCTGTTGGCTAGGAAAATGCTACTTGTGCCAATTAAAAACAAACAAAGGAACTCCTGTAGTTTGGTGGTTTTATGTAGTTGTATTTAATTCTCAGACAAGACTTTACCTATAAAGACATAAAAGATGGTAGAGACATCTAGGAAGATTGTGATGCTGTCAGCCCTACTTTGGTTTCAGATTCCCCTTTTTCTTTTGACTGTTTCATGGGATACCTTTGATTTGAATCAATAGCAGACAGTATATTGATATTTGAATCAATTGTGACTGTTGTTTGGGTTGTTGAGGCTTATGTCGCTGCTGTTCTTTTATTGCCTGCTGCAAGCACTGTGTCTTGCTTGGTTCATTTTTAATTCATCATTTGGTCTTAGTATTCTGTGTTCATCAGTGCAATTTCCTGTGACATTGATGGTATTTTTGCAAGAGTGAGATTTAGGTCTTCATGTTAGCACCTAACAAGCTTTCAGTCTTAAATTCACATGTTCTGATTGGACCAGTGAGGCTGCTGAACATAAAACACTGTGTATTTGCATGCATACAACACTTCTTCAAAATATTTGTAATAAGGTATTCTTAATTAGGGATTAGTGTTTTAATTGATTTTCTGTGGTAGCAAAACTTCTTGTGCAAATGCGGTTATTTTGAGAAAAGTCATTATGTTGTGTAGGAAAATATTATAAACACAAACTGCAAAGCATTCATAAAACTGTGCTTAGAAACACCAATTGATGCATTCGGAGTTCTTAAGATCCTAATTTCTTGTCCATGACAAATCACTTTCTTTATAAGTGGAAATTAGCTGTGTATGGGTTTTAAGTAACTTACAAATTTTCTTATTTTTTTTCCTGTATTATTTTTCCTCCTCATAGTGCATTTTGGGCTGTTGTCGAATTTGTTATGAGATACTTAATACTTTCTGTATTTCAATTTAGGTCATGATATGCTCCCAATGATTGGTATTTGCAAAAGCTTAAAATCAGCCTGCCAAGATCAGCAGTTCCTCAGCTGACATACTAGTGGAGGGGGAAAGCTGTAGGAGCTTCACATCTGCCTGCAGCCCACTTCTCTCCTAGGCTACCTTCAGATTCTGCCACTGAAATGTTTAGTGTTGGGCACAGTGGAGAGGAATTACTCTTGCACATTAAAAACAAGCATTCATCTACCATTTAATTCATGTACACAGATCAGAAAGCTTAGGCCAGGTAGCCAGTTTGAGTCAAACCCATAAACATGGTAATCCAAGTGCTGTGTCCCATTTGCTTAGAAGAATCAGGTTAGAAAGCACATGGCTTAATGGTATTCCATCTGCATAGAGTCTTCACATCCAGGGGGTCCCCTCTGGTCGTTGCAACATCCAAAACACAGCAGATGTTTGGAGAGTTGGTGTAGACTGCTTGGAAGACCGTGGTCTCTGTGGTCATGTTTTTGAGAGCAGTCTCAAGCTGATCAAAGGGCGTATTGCTGCTTAGAGGCAGGAGTACCTTCCTGGCCGTGATCTGCTCTGCTTTTCCTGTGCTGATTCCACTAACCAGGTGTCTTGAGAGGTTCAATATATTAATGGAAAGATAGGAAAGATGAATTGAAGCCAGTGCAAGAGAGGGGTTGGGACTCTGCAGTTGAGAGGGTGAGGTGAGAGTGTCCTGTGCCCCATCTGCAGTCAGTGAGCTGTTGTGTTGGATGGGGGGATGTAGAACTGTGGTCCTGGGTGTGCCTTATCAGCTTTGGCCACCTTAGTGCAGTACCTCATGTGCAGTGAATACAAGCAGTAATTAACAAGGCAGTTGTTTTCCAGCTGACTGTATTGCCTTCTCCCAGTAAGTGACAGTATCAGTAAATGCAAAATAAAAGTGGAAATTGGAAACTCGTACGAGAGACATTTTTCTCTTAGATACTGTTTTTAATTGAGGGGGAGTTGGATGTAAAAATGACACAACCTAAGAAAGGAAATACAGCTTTTGTGGTATAAGAGTCTCCTGCAGTAGTACTTCCACACATCATCTGATAGAATTCTACTTTTCTTTATTTTTGTTATTGCGACAAGCAAAAATGTGAATAACATCTTTTTTTTTTATTTTCAGGATGATCTGCACAAAGCTCATAACTCTACATCAGTCACAGATGGACTCTCTGCAACTTCATTTATAGAATATCCAAATTACAAGCCATTTATTAATTCTGATTTGCAGCGCTCCCCATGGAAACCAGTAATTCCATATCCTGAAAGTCATAGCAGAGGTAATAGTTCATCAAAGTTGTTTTCTTCCTGTTTCCAAATCATGTGGTAAAATAAATACATGTGTGTGCTCCACATCTACAAAGGTTGCAGTCTTTTTATCCTTTTATCACTTCCCAGTGATGTCCAGGTCACCTGTTTTGTAGGCCCTTTGCTCTTCTCTTTCTGAAGAACACCTGATGAGAAAGGTCATCTTACAGCTGGAGAAAGATGCTGTTCTTTGGTAGTAGAGAACTGTAAAAGTGTGTGAGTGCTTTCTGAAGTTGTACTGACGTGTTTTCTTTGCCCCTTCTTTAGTCCTCCTCTCTTTTAATCTTTCCTCTCCCGAGTTCACAGCTGAGTTAGAAATAAGGAGACTTAAGTCCTCAGAATGGTTTGGACCAAAGGAAGAGGTTTGGTCTGACAGAAACCGTAAGGCTTGTCATGGTCAAAGGGTGTGTCAAGTATTTATCGTGTCAGCGAAGACTTAGAGGATACAGAGAGGAGCACAATGCTGAACTGAGAGCTCACCACACTAGAAAGGGAGGCAATTTTACTCCCATTTATTCTTTCTTGTTTCTAGGCTATTCTTTCTCCCTCCTTTCCCACTCTGGTCCTGGTGTTTATCTCCAGATATGTCTTGCCTGACAGGACAAAAACCATTCTTGTTTAGTTTTCTGTTATTTTAGTGAATTGGCTTGTCATGCAGTGAGATGTATTCCAAAGCTGCCTTGTGGGGGGTAGGTACAGGAGGCAGCATAAAGAGTTGGGAGACTAGAGCAGGACTGATCCTTTGATAAGATGTTTGGCTCGGGTTCATTGCAATAATGTTCCTTTGAGGCTGGAGTGGCATGGAGGCTTAAAGTTATGAACAACTTTGTATTTTTTCCTTATAGGGGAAAAAAGTGAGAAATACTTAGGATGAATCCTAATATTACTTAAACTAAGTAAAAAATCAGAATGATACCCTTAAGTCCCTGTTCCAATAACACAGTTCACGTCTGAATTACTAGAGGCTTATATGTTAGTTACCTAGTAGGTGAAATCTTAATTCTTGAAGTGCTATTTAAATTCCAGTATATACTCTCAATACCATCAGTTCTGAGAGTGCTGTTGACACAAAACTGAAAGAATCTTGTAACAGATGAAAAATTGGATGTGCAGAAAAGAACTTCCTTATGAATTACTGATGTAGATGTATTTTTGTAGATTGTGTATGTTGCATTAGCAACAAACCTTTGACTCTTAAGTTTCCACTTGGCAACTTAGTTTCAAACAGGGAATCTGCCAACTGGAAAGTAAGTACAGATGATGGAAGACAACTGGATAAATTATATCCCTTTTTAAAAATTAACAAATATTTTTATTTTCAAAAAATGTTGAAGTGTAAGTAAATATGAATACATACTGAAAATCGAATCGAGCCTGAGTGTGATCCAATGTATTTCTCTTTTTGCATAGCCTATAAAAATGCAGAAATGATCTGGAGTGTATACTTCAGTAAGTGTAAGAATATGGTAATTAACTTCAAATGGGAAAATTGATTTGATTGTTATTGAGGATCCTTATTGCTCCTTCCACCCTCCCATGTTAAAAAAAATCATATTGAAAAATCCTGAAATTGAGTATGGTAAATTCTGTTTATTCTGGTTTTAATTTCTTTGTGTTGTATCTGTGTGTGTCTCACCATGCATAGTTGGCTTTAATACTCTAATAGAAATGGCTGAATGATACTTGGCATCTTCTTGGGTTTCACCTTTATCTATTCATTGCTTGAGTTGCTTTATTGCTGTATTTTGTTAGTCATTGTTGTGAATATACAGGGGTTTCAATTTAGCTTTTAAGGATAATAGTAACAAATATGTTTATAGTTTCAGCTATGCCCATTTCAACTGAATTCTAGGAACAGTATTATAAAGAGAGAACAGGGTGCAGTTGGTGACTCTGATATAGCAAATAGGGCCAAATTATTAATAACTTCCCCTTAACTGTGACTGCTGTCACTACTTATGTACTTAACAGTTACCTTAAAGCAGGTAGTTCTTACTGATGTGATACTCTCATGCTATTCTGCATTTCAAGATTTGATAAATTTTTACTCTGGAAAACTTGTTCTGATAAATATTTTTCCCCTTTTTTTTTTATTTTTGGTAATCTGATGCAATCCCAACTTCTGTAGTGCTCATGCATTCTGTAATAAAGGTATATTCTTTCTCTGGAGTGGATTTAAGCACAAAGGAGTGTGCTAATGCTGCCTTGCAGATTAGTCTGCTATATGAGCTGTATGTACAGATGTTCTTGTGTTTTACTTTAGCACACCTATATAGGGGAAGGGATTTATGGTTATGGATCCCTTTACAGAATTAAACAATACAGCTAAGAGATGCAATACATCAGATTACCAGCAGATGGTCTAATTGCAAGGTGATGTGAATTCTATTACATCTGCTTTTCTTTTTGTGGTGATGAATATATAAAGGCTTTGTTTAGTAATTGCTAAAGCTGGGAATGCAACAGAAAGGGGAAAATGGTTCAGCACAAAGGAGATGCATGTTTTTGGGGAGAGGAGGGAAACACGAGCAAAACCAGAACAATTAAAAAAGAATTCCACTTAGAAATAAGCACTTCTATAGCCCTTCTGATAGCTAACCTTTATTATACTCTGTGGCTATGAGTAATTATACAGAGAACTGCCAGTATTTTGACTATCTAGTTGTAACTTTTTTTTCCTTTCGATAAAGAGTCAGGGCATGCACTGTTTGCACTTAACCAACATAATATTTACATGCCTTGTTCTGGGATATAGTTGTATATTTCCTAAATGTATCAGGTGAAAGGTGTGCACCAAGGGCATCTATTTGTTTGAGACTAGTTTTAGAATCAGCTATGGTTTAAAGGGAAGCAGGTCTTAATTCCTGGAAGGAGTGTTGGATGCTTGTAAGGAACATTTTGGCTTTGTTACATAACATGCTTTTATAGAAACATTTCAAGTTCAATGTTGCCTTGAAGTGGTGATTTAATGATATCTAACAAAAAGTACTTGTTCATTACAGCCATATTTTCTGCTCTGAAGAATCTCCAGGAAAAAATTCATCGGCTGGAGTTGGAAAGGTTTCAGGCGGAGGAGAATGTAAAACACCTCAGCAGGGAAACAGCAGACTATAAGAAAGTACTGAGTGAACAAATGGAACATAAAGAGCATGACAAGACTGAAGTGTCAAAGAAAAATCAAGGTTGTTTGCAAAACTTTGTATGGATACTACAGAACACTGACGTGGATGAAACCTTATTTCTATTGATACGTGAAGTAATTTCAATTTACTTTCAGCATCTCTTAATTTGCAATGACACATGGAGTTATAAAAAATAATTTAAAAACATACTTTGTTTTAAGGATTTATGTGCATACAGAAGTTAATTAGGCATAATATGTGAGTTTGTTGAGATGGTCCTTTACTTGTTTGTTTTGGAACTGTCTTGAAAACAGAAAAAAATCCCAGAACCAAACAGTACATGATTTCAGTTTTCTGCCTTCTGTTATCTTCAGAACTGGCTTCTCAGCTGGCAGCTGCAGAGTCTCGGTGCAGTCTTCTAGAGAAACAGCTGGACTACATGAGAAAAATGATCCAGCATGCAGAAAATGAGAAATCTCATCTCTTGGAGAAACAGGTGTGTTCTCAAAATTATCTCAGAGTTAAATCATAATCATTAACTATGTCATGATTTTTCATAGTTTCTGTGATATTCATACTTTGAAGTGTGGATGTCTATTTCAGCTGGCCTTTATATACTTAGTTGTGGATAGTTTCCCTACTTACATTTCCTAGTCTTCTCATGACCCTGGTATTTTCTTTGTGCACCTATTTCTAAGGCAGTATCAGGCTCTGGTATGAATAAGAATTGTTTGCTTCGGTATGATTGGCTTACTACCATAGCTCATACTTACCCCATGTAAGTTATACCCATGTACCACTGGAAAAAAACTCCCTTTTGTGTTCACACTCTTCAGATCTTTGGGGGTATTCTTTGCTAGCACTGCTTTTGATAAACTAGTGGTGAAATACTCATTATGTAGAAATAGCAGTAAAATTTGTTTCCCACCATGAGTGACTAGGATTTGACCTATATCTAAAATGAACTTGAATTTTATAAGTGTATCGATCACCTAGAATTCTCTGTTCATTGGTCTCTATGGCTGTTCTACTTCTGTCTGTTAAATATTTGCTAAAGGAAAAAAAAATATAAGAAAGCTATCTCTAGTAGCTGCATAATGAATTTGGTTTTGTTTTTTTACCAAACCTTGGTTTGGAGGAAGGAGAGACTGCAGAATCTTCTCTCATCAGACTGTGGTTGAGTATGCAGTTCCCCAGCATTGGTGGAGCAGTAGTGAAGTTTTCTCCCTGATTGTAGCACCATCTAAAATTGCACAGAGGAAGTAGAAGTTCCTTTGCACTGTTTATGGGCCTCCTTTGTGCTCCAGACACAAGGCTTACTATAGATGGTCTTATATTATTGTACTTATAAATTGTTTTCCTTTTCAATTCTCCCTTCAAGGGTTCATTGGAGAGAGATCGGCTTCTTAATCAGTCACATGTTCAGTCTAAATTGGAAAAGCTGGATATGCTGGAAAAAGAGTATAGGAGACTTACTACGATGCAGTCCATAGCAGAGGTCTGTCATTTGTGTTGGATACTATATCAGATTTGTCTTGTTTGTTGTAATCAGCACTTGATAGCTATATGTCAATTAAAGAGCTGAGCAAAACTTTGTGCTGTAGAGAAAGACAGTGACTAAACTTCTTTTTAAAGCTGAAGTGTTGTAAAAATTTAAAGTTATTGCTGAAAGTCTGCGTGGCTAGATGGGCTCTGGGTCACTGTATACTGCAAGAGTTGGTGTTTTGTTAAGCCTTAACAGTACCTGTTCGTGTTCCTCTTTTGTGCTTAGTTGGTGCCTAGGCACGTAACTTTGCAGGCATTCCTAAGATCTCAACTTCTGAGTTGCCTTGCTACTGGATGATTTGCAGTTACTTTCTGTTATGACCCAGGTTTAACTTGACTTGTGTGAATTTGGTGTGTGGGTTTTTTTTTCTTTTAGCCCTCTTTCTTAAGAAACACAATTATTGCTAGTTACTTTGCGTGCAGATTTCTGGAGTGTGGCATTGCAGGGCCTCTGGCACGGGATGGCTGTCAGTGGGTTTGAACCAGGCTGCCATTTCAGGACTCCTTTTGAATCAGTAGCTTTTACGAGTTCAACATGATTCTGTTTGGTCATATGCTGTTGTGGTGGGTTGACTCTTGAATTTTTATAATTTTTGTAATTTTATAATGAGAAATAAAACCAAATCTCACCATGGGCTGCAGGAGAATCTCTGCTTTGGCACCTGGAGTACCTCCTCCGTCTCATTCATTGACTTTGGGGTCTGCAGGGCTGTTGCTTTCACATATCCTCTCTCCTCTCTTCTGGCTGCTGCTCCTCAGCAGGTTTTCTTCTGCTTCTTACGTCTTTTATTCTAGAGGTGCTGCCCCCCTGCTGTTGGGCTCAGCCTTTGGCCAGTGGTGGGTCTGTCTTGGTGCTGGCTGGCATTGGCTCTTTCAGACAGAGGAAAGGCTTCCAGCTGCTCCTCACAGAAGCCACCCCTGTAGCTCCTCACTACCAAAACTTTGCCATGCAAACTGTGGTTTTGGCTTTTGAGGTCCCGTGCACTTACCTCTTTCTGCTGCTGTAGAGACCACAAGTCTCCCAAGCCTGGAAACTACAGAGAACTTAACCAGGGAGAGGCTTCCACCTGCAAGTTTCTTCCCTGCTCCCCCAAAAGGACCAGATAGTACATGATTAGATGGTGGTATTGAGGATGGCAGGTCTGGGTCCTGTCAAAATCACAGGCTTGCCACCCTGCATACCAGCATTTACCAGGTGCTGAAGTAGATGGTATATCTCCAGGAGTATGTAAGGAGATGTTTGGTATTAAATCTTTAGCTACTTGGTTTGCTGCAGGACCTTTAGACATCACAACTATTCTTGTAAGTCCCTGAGCCAAGGCAGCTGTAACAAGCTGTTTAAGATCCTGACACTCCATTGTGGTGAGCTGCAGTTGTGGAGTACAAGTGTCTCCATTGTTGACTTTGGCCAAACACTTGTGAAAAGAAATAAGTGTCTTCTGGGTCTTGTTCAGTGAAAGAAGCAGTAGTTTCCTCCAGGGTCAAAGTTGTAATAACTGGTTCAGCAACTAGAATTCCCTCTGAAGGGCTTTTACCAAGTTTTTTTCTGGTAGCAACTGAAGTTTAATAAAGCTGGGTTGTTTGCCTTTTTGTGTGTGGCTAGTGAAAATCATTTCAGCCTTATTTTTTTTTTCTGGATCTAGCTAGATGTCTTTGCTTCTTTATGAATTAGCAGCTGTTGCAGTTAAATCTGTTTTAGTGGAATTGGGTGTTCACACAATTTTGAAGCAATTCTGGGAACTGAAAAAGATATGGATCTAGCTATGACTAAAGGTCATTTACCTTGTGATGATGAGCCATTTTCTGGTTCACAGGTCTGTCTGCGTCTGTGGTTATGGGATATGTTCCTATGTGAGCATCTGTGTGCTAGGTGTTACCTTATAGTCCTGAAGGAGTGACTGTACTCCCTGATCAGAACAGTTGCATCTGTTTCATCTTTGATCTGTAGTTATGACCATGGGACCACAGGACTGTTTTCAAGTTGAATTTGAAGCAAGAAATAAAGACTTTCATACATGGTGCATTGAAATGGATGGAAAGTGATGAGGTGACTGCTCATGAGCAAGCACTAATTTAACTGCCTCTGATTTCAGGCACTGCCAGGGCACAAGCTGTGGGTGGGTCTTACTGAGAGCATTTCATCTCTGCAGAGCCACTGTCTGGCCCTATAAGTATATTATCTTCAAGCAATTTGCTAATGTTAATATTACCTGTGGAAAAGGAAATGCTGACATTCCTATTTCTGTGAAGTACCTGTAATAGGAGTACTTACCCTAGAAATGCTTTTGAGGCATGTTTATTGCAAGTGTAGTCCTGCAGTGCAGTCTCTGGATAGCTGGCTGAAAAGATCTGAACATATCTCTGTCTGAGAATGGAGTAAGGACAGGGTTGTTTCCTAAAAATGCAATTTGGGCTTTGGTCTTGTATGTAGACAAGTGACCAGAATTTGAATGTATGTGTGGATGATGCTTTTTGAACAACTGTGGTTCACAGTAATTGATTTTAGTGCTAACAATGAAACTTAATAAACCCCCACCATTTCTGCGAACAGAAGTGATGAAACTTCGCATCCTGTTGTGGCTGTGCACTACCCACACCTCTAGCTTTTCCTCTGCCCTCTCATTGCCAGGTGGTGAGAAGCAGCAGCTTCCCTGTTTCAGCTGGGTGACACTGACTGCTCAGCTGCCCAGCAGATGCTAATTTGCAAGGCAGCGAAGCACAGAGGTAAAAGCTGTCTTTACTCTGGAGACATTTCCTCTCTGGTGGAACTAATTTGGATGCTTATCCCAGCAGCCAATTTTATGACATTTAGGTGTTCTTTATCTGTGAGGTCTCATAACTTTCTGTCTTTGGTTGAAGTTTTTTGAGGGATAGAATGCCATCCAGAGGGTCCTGGACAAGCTCAGGAAGCCTACCCACAGGAACCTCATGAGGGTCAATGAGGCCAAGTGCAAGGTGCTACTTGTGGGTCAGGGCACCTTCCCCCCAGGCTGGAGAGTAAAAGGATTGAGAGCAGCCCTGACAAGAAGGACTTGTGGGCTCTTGTGCATAAAAAACTGGACATGAGCCAACAGTGTGCACTCACAGCCCAGAATGCCAACCATATCTTGGGCTGCATCAGGAGCAGTGTGGCCAGCAGGCCAAGGGAGGTGATTGTCCCCCTCTACTATGCCCTTGTGGGACTCTGCCTGGAGTGCTGCATCCAGCTATGGGGTCCCCAGAACAGGAAAAACATGGACCTCTTGGATCAGGTCCAGAGGAGGCCTCAAAAATGGTCAGAGGGCTGGAACATCTCTCCTATGAAGACAGGCTGAGAGGGTTGGAGTTGTTTAGCCTGGAGAAAAGAAGGCTGCAGGGAGATCTTGTTGTGGCCTTGCAGTACTTAAAGTACTTAAAGGGGCTTATGAGAAAAATGGGGACAGATGTTTTAGCAGGGCCTGTAGCAGTAGGACAAGGGGCAGTAGTTTTAAACTGGAAGAGGATAGACTTAGACTAAATACAAGGAAGAAATGTTTTACAATGAGGGTGGCAAAATGCTGGAACAGGTTGTCCAGAGAGGTTGTAGATGCCCCCATTCCTGGAAATATTCAAAATCAGGTTGGACAGGGCTCTGAGAAACATAGTCTAGTGGAAGGTGTTCCTGCCCATGGCAGGGGGCTTGGGCTTAAGTGACCTTTAAGGATCCCTTTAAAACCAAACCATCCTATGATTCTGTGATTCTCTGAGTGAGGTGATTGCATGAGACTTAATGTCTATTTTTGCCCGTTTTCTAAGAGAAATTGAAATACTTTGTTTCTATGTTTTTCATTTAAATTCTTTGCAGTGGCTACTGCTGATCAAGCAGACTGTTTAGGCAGCCAGCTTGCTTTGTAGTGCTATCTTAGATGATGGGCAGTACTAGCAGGGAGGGTCTGTTTGCTTGCCCCTGTGGCCTCTCTTTATTGAAGATAGTTGAGTGATCTGTGCAATACTTTCTTCTATAAACAAGAAAACAGAATTATTTTAGGAATCTAACTTGAGTATATAATTTCTAATAGGGTCTATCACGGATGATACAGTAAGATATACACTTGCTGTGCAGCTGGACAGCTAGCTGAGGGAATATTTATTCATTTCAGAATAAAAGCCTTGGCCCAGCTTCATGACAATCTTCACTTTAAACAGAATATTTTTCTTACTGAAAATTCTGTCAAGACTTCACAGGCTAATAAAAGATCCTTATAGACTGAACACAAGGAAATCAAGAGCTATGCCAGTAAGTGGGCACAAGGTCAGAAAACAAGTTACCTGGAGTACATCTGTTTAGAATGGAAAAAACAATCATCAGGAGGGTTCTTGTATTCAACAGAAAAAGTTGATTCCTTTATATAGTGCCTTTGTCCTGAACGTTTATCCAGGCTTTTGCCTTTTAACACCTTTGTATAACAGCTCATTACATTATTCTTGCAGTTAATGCTTAAGTAAAGAAAAACTGAAATTATTTTCTTCTTCAGTGTAGTGCATTTATAAACAAACAGAAGTGTACAAATACAGCTGTTGCTCTGTATTTCATGCTTTTCTGCCTTAAGTTTGATTAGTGGCTTTGAGTTATCAGTCTTTGTGGGGAGAGAAGGGAAGTTGTTTTGTGTACTGGAGCTCAGGATTATTTTTTCTCTCTACTGTGTAAAGTCAGCTACTTGATAACTTTCACATTGGGAATTTCAGTGTATCCTGAAATTTAAACAAGGTTTTCATTTGTTGGAGGGTTTACAAAGAAATGTCTGGTTTTGCCCTTAAACTTTTTCTTTGAAAAGGGGTTTCAGAAGAGTTCTTACATGCTTTTGCGATAAAAACGTGAAATTACTTCAGTTTTGTTTAAAGGCATCATACAAACTTTCCTCCCTCTTCTTTATTAGGATGGTGGCTAGATGTTCAAAAATTCTTTTCTTGTAAGACTGTAAGTTACAGATTTTAGCAAAAATACCATTAGTGATCTAAGTAAAGCAAGTCTTCTCTCGCCTTAGGATGATACATGATATGTCTTTGTTAGCTCTTTTGTAGTACAGAATCTTGGAGGATAATGTACACAAAGCAACTTACTTTCTAGAGTGTTTTTACAGCTGGAGAGGGAGATACCTTTGTGTATTGCTGTCAGCTGTGACCTAAATTCATATATCAATTATGGAAGTAACAATAGAAAAATCAAGTTTTAAGCATAAGATTTTTGACTGCTGTATTTATGCCTATACAGACAAAGCATCAGCAATTGTTCTAATGCTAAATTACCTTTGTTTCACTTGCCTCTAAGTCATAAGCTGAACTCATAGTTTTGCTCAAGCTCTTAGTATTGTAGGCTTCAAGATGAAAAAATGGTTTCATTAGTAATGCTATTATTTTTATTCATCTTTGACTAGAAAAAAATGAAAGAGCTGGAACAGAAGCTTTGGGAGGAAGAACATGCAAGGAAGCTTGTTCAGGAAAAAGCAGCTGAGGTAACCAACAGGAAATTTCTTTTGCACTGCTATGCACTGTAATTAGCTCTTCCTTTTTATCAGATTTTCAGCTAAGCTTACTGAAAGTGCTTCCCATATACATCAAAGAATAATGAAATCCTGGGTTTAGTCTTTTTTTTTTTTTCCTTATTTCTTTTTTCTCCTGTTTGGGGTACCACATGTTCTGAAGTTCTCTGAGCTTTTTCTAACAGCACCTGTGCACTGAAGCTTTGATTTCTCTACTAAATAAGTTAGTTGGAAAAGAGGAGTAAAAATTCAGACTAATAAAGAATTGAGTGTGCATGAGGATCTCTAAGTAGATCAAGGTCAACAAGTGTGCTCCCTGTTGATAATTGTAATTAAAACAGAAGAAGGTAAAAAAGAGACAATGCACTCTTGGTTATGAGCCCATAAGGATGCTGGTCTTCTCCTAACCTGGATGTGCAGTGTTTGTTAAATGCTTATTGTTTGCTGAAGAATTATGGAGGTAATGTGTTAGGCTCTAACCTTTGCCATGAGTTTGCTGTGATGGGGAAAGGGGTATCTCAAATTCATCATGAAAAATTGTACTGTGAATGCTTCTAGATGAGATTGGTTATGACATGATTTGTAAAGCCATGCCATGTCCTGGCAACATGCTGTTATCAAGCCAACAGCAAAGCATAAATGATTCACTGTCAACAGGGAGTTCTAAACTTAACTCTTTCAAAAGATGGTTTGGTGGTTGGGTGTTTATTGTGTTTGTTTGGAGTTCTGTCAATAAAACAGAAGTAGTTGCCTGTTAACTCTATGCCATGGGGTTGGGTGGCTTGGATTTCCCTACTACTTTGTCAAGTATAAAGCACAGCTGATGTTTTGGCACTTGCCTGTGTGGGGCTAATGCAGTAAGGCTAATTCTCTAATTTACTAGGATTACTGATGAGTAGTGCTACCAGAGGAAGTATTTAATGTTTAAATGGACCTTGGAAAGGAAAAGTATCCTAAAAATTTACAGCCCTTGCTTTCAGAGAGCCTGTATTTTAAAAACTCTTGATTTGCAATTCTCTGCTTACTCTCTCTCTCTCATTATTTATTAATATAATTTCAGTAACTCCTCTTATTCCCTCAATTAAAGCTTCAGACAGGCCTGGAAACCAACAGACTACTGATTCAAGCAGCATCACCATTGCTTTCTCCAAAAGCAAGACAACCCAGGAAAAAAGCTAAGCAGACAGAGAAGGTAAGATGGGGAGAAGAGAAAGGCAGTTACTGAGGACTTAAATAAGGATGTGTGCATGTGATCGAGAAGCAGGTTTCTTCCTTTATTACATAGTAAAGGGAAAATGGGTTTGCTGTAGTCTAATCTTTGCTAAATATTTCTCTTCTTCCTTTCCAGAAATGCCCTGTTGGAAGCCGTTCCACTGTGCAGCCCCATTACAGACTGTGTCTGGGTGATGTACCCTTTGTGGCTGGGAAGGTGAGCTGATAAGCTTAATGCTCAGTAGCTGCAGCTCCTTAAGTGACTTTGACTTGGTGCACTCCTGACACCCAGTGGTCACATCATTTAATTTTCTTTGATGCTTTTGTTCAGTTAGTCTTCAAAATACTTGTTGGATATTGATAACTTGCTGAGCTGGCATTTCCAAAAACAGGTCTGCATTATGCTGCTTGACAAGCTGTTCTTGTTAGTGCTTATTAATTCAAACAAATGTTAATTCAAACAAAAAATACATTCTTGGCAGTAAAACAAAAGTGTTACTGTTGTTAAATATTCTTCGGTGTTATCAATTATCATTATCAATGCCATTTAAAAGAAGTCTCTTTCACTTTTCCTTCCAGTCTACCAGTCCCAGTCATTCAGTTGCTGCCAATGTGCAACACGTGCTACACCTGATGAAACAACACACGAAAGCTTTGTGTAACAGACATGTGGTAAACGATACTCCACTGGCAAAACCCATCAGCACTGCTTGTCCTGCCAGCAAAAGCAGAAGGCCATCCCTCCCAATGGAATCGTCTTCATCTCAGGAAGAGCTCTCAGAAGTGTTGCTGACTTTACAAGATGAATTTGGACAGATGAGTTTGTGAGTTTGATATATTCTCCACTGCAGATTATGAATATATGTTTTATATTTTGCTTGAGAAAGGTGTTAGTTTAGGAAGTCTTTGTTCTGCTGGCTACAGAGGCTGTCATTTCTCCTTGCAGTTAGAGAGAGATTCTGCTAAACAATCTGGACACCATGCCTGTGTTTATATGCAGCAATATTGAATTCAGAAGAGGCAGTGAAGTGTGGCAGCAGCCTTGATGTAGTGGATTATTGTGGTTTAAACCCAGACAGCAGCTAAGTACCACACAGCCACTTGCTCTCCCCTCCCCTCCCCACACCCCCATCCCCTCCACCCTGTTGGGATGGGCACTATACACCCTTATACTGTATCATTTATGTCCTGCCCAAGCTACACACTTTCCAGTATATCCCAGTTAACCACCATCACCTTTCCAGTCTTTTGATGCGTGCACACACACATATCATTCCCACAGTCTGTGGACCATTCCTGTACTAGTCTATCGAGTTCATTTAGTCCATGACTTTGGACTCATCTGTCAGAAGTCTTTCGGGGCAGGAAAAGGTAGTGTATGGATAGCTGCATGCTGAAGTCACTTGGAGGTTGTGGTGGATGAGAGGGTGGACATGAGCTGGCAGTGTGCATTTGCAGCCCAGAAAGCCAACCCTATCCTGGGCTACATCAAAAGCAGCATGGCCAGCAGGTTGAGGGAGTGAATTCTGCCCCTCTACTCTGCGCTGGTGAGACCTCACCTGGAGTGCTGTGTCCAGCTCTGGCACTCCTAACATAAGAAAGATATGGACCTGTTTGAGTAGGTCCAGAGGAGACTACAAAGATGATCAGAGAGCTGGAGCACCTCTCCTGTGAAGACAGACTGAAAGAGCTGGGGTTTTTCAGCCTGGAGAAACGAAGGCTCCAGGGAGACCTCATTGTGGCCTTTCAGTGCTCAAAGGAGGCTATAAGAGAGCTAGAGAGGGACTTTTTACAATGATGAGGGTGTAATGGCTTCAAACTGAAAGAGAGCAGGTTTAGGTTAGATATTAGGAAGAAATTCTTTACTGTGAGGATGATGAGGCACTAGAACAGGTTGTCCAGAGAAGATGTGGATGCCCCGTTCCTGGAAGTATTCAAGGTCAGGCTTGATGGGGCTCTGAGCAGCTTAGTCTAGTGGAAAGTGTCTCTGCCTGTGGTAGGGGGTTTGGAACTAGGTGATCTTTTAAGGTCCCTTCCAACCCAAATCATTCTATTACCTGTTGTTCTTTGACCTTCCACAACAGAAGGGTACTCTTGAGAGACCGGGCAGAGTAGAGAGCTGCTTCATTTCCTTTGTCTCCAAGGCAGCTATACAGAAAGCCCACCAGTAGCCTTTTGGGTCCTTAAAATGCCCCCTTCTGAGACAGTCTGTTCCAAGGGTGCACAGAGCCTCTGGGCCAGTTGCACTGGGGTGCTTTTGCCAATCACTCTGGCTGATTTCAGCCTCCAAGACTGTCAGCTGTTGGGATCCCCCTGTCACTCCAGAAATACAAATGGGTTCTGCCCCTGTACAGCTTGATGGCATTAGGTGCACTGTGGACCAGAGTCTACTAGTACTCCCGTGGGGCTGATGTGCCAGGCCATCTGATCCACACAGTCCAGTAAAGCCGGCTGTCCCTCTCCTGCACTGGCTGGAGACAAGGCTCCTCTAATATTGGTCTTAGGATTCTCCATTTCCGTAAAAACAAATTAAAATTCCTTTTCACAGGATCAGGAATAAGATCAGCCCTGCCACTCTGTCTGGGGAGCTGGCCACTGGAGACTTAAACACAAATGGGAATTCTTCAGGAAAGTTGCTGTTTGTTTTTTCCCTGCCTCTATGATTGAGGTAGTTATTCCATGCTACTTCCTCATGTCCTCCTTTTGGTCCCACAGCTAAAAGTCAGGGTTCCCTATAGTGTGTATTCTCCATATACTGTCTTTTGTGCAAAAGAAAGCTTACTGTTTGTGGGGTTTAAACAGTAACTCAGTCCCACTCAGCTCACTGCTCCCAGAGACACACCCTCCCCTGATCTGAACCACATTCAGCACCATGCTGCTTCCTAGCACTAAGACTGTGCTGGTTTTAACATCTTAAGGATATTCAGAGTTCTCAAGCACTATTGTAATTATCCTGGAGAAGAAGCAGAAGGTGTGGGAGGATACCTCCTCCGCAGGTTGGCTCTCCAAGGAGCAAAGGTGAAAGGTGTAATTACAAAACTTCCCCAGTAGGAGGCTCCCGCAGTGCGGAGGGACGGCGGTGCTGAGGAAACACCACCCCGCTCCCTGAGAGGAATTTCACGGCAGGGACTCCATTGTACTATAAATCAGCATTGTGACCAGCCACTATCAAGCCAATACAATGAATGTCTATAAAAAAAAAAAATCTGTTTTCACATACTCTGGTCAGATCTGTCATTACCTCAACCTCTTGTGCCCCACACTGGGTGCCAAAAAGGAGTGTCGAAGTTTAATCCCAGCCAGTAGCTAAGTACCATGCAGCTGCTTGCTCATTCCACTGTGGTGGGATGGGGAGGAAAATTGGGAAAAGGTAAAACCCATTGGTATAAATAAGGGCAGTTTAATAATTGAAATGAAGTAAAATGTAATGATAATAGTTATCAAAAGGGAAGAGAAGAATAAAACCCAAGGAGAAAAACTATGCAATGCTCAGTACAATTGCTCACCACCTTTTGATTGATGCCCAGCCTGTCCCCAGCAGCAATGGGCCCCTCCTAGCCAGCTCCCCCCAGCTTATACATTGAGGATGACATTCTGTGGTATGGAATCCCTTTGGCCAATATGGATCGGCTGTCCCAGCTATCCCCCCTCCCCAGCTTCTTGTCTACCTCCTCACTGGCAGAGCAGGAGATGCTGAAAAGCCCATGGCACTGCTCAGCAATAACAAAAACGTCAGGGTGTTATCAACATTATTTTCATATCAAATCCAAAACACAGCACTGTATCAGCTACTACAAAGAAAATTAACTCTGTCCTAGCCAAAACCAGGATGTGGACAGATACTCCATTAAAAGACAGCTTTACTAGGGGTTTTGCTTGTACTGGTTAACAGACCATAATTGTTACTGTACTGGGCAACTGCAGTAGGTACAGATACACAAAACTGAATGAGTGCTGAGATCATGCTCTCAAAGGGTTATTTGGTCACTTTGAATGTGTGATTTTAAGTTGGAAACTACTTATGTTATTAAGACTTAACATTGGAGCAGCCTGCCACCAGGATGTGCTACAAACCAGCAAAACTGTTCTTACTGGTTTGTTATGGTGTGTTGGTCATATCTGGCTGTTGATGCTCTGGTTTCCTAAAAATGTTATTTCTGAACTGGGAGTGTAAACAGTAGAAGCCAAGGGAGCTTAATGTAAGCCTTGTTCTGTCTGAATTCTATGCTAGTGATCACCAGCAGCTGTCAAAGCTCATCCAGGAAGCCCCCACCACTGCAGTCAAGGAAGATCTGGAGAGGGAACTTGAGGCACTGGTGGGAAAGATGGAAGCAAAGGCAGACCAGATCAGCAAAGTTCGGAGGCATCAGTTGCAGGTGAGTTTCTTTTGACTGTGTTCATCCTCATGGAGAGTTGCTGACTTAAGTGGCTTTTTTAGTGCTAAATACTAATCTAGCAGTAGTTGAATGAAGCAGAAATAACTACTTTGGAGTAGTATTGCATAGCTCTAGCTGCGATGTCCCAAAGTTAGTCTGAATACTTCCATCCTTCTGTCCCAGTATTTTTGCAGAAATATCCTTTCTGTCACCCTTGTGCCCACTCTTCATCCTTTCCTGGGCATGTTCTCGCATCGCATTTTACACCTCTTGTCTCTAGAACATCGTTTAACAGTTTTCCTTTACTTTGAGTAAATGACCTATTTATGTTTTGATTTGCATTTTAAAAGACCCAAAATGCCTGTTTTGCTTATTTTATAACTTTCAAAATGTTTTGAATAGTGTAGCTTGTTCGTTCAAAACTCTAAAACGTACTTTCTGTTTTCTTTCATCTTCATTAATTTTAGTGAATTCCTTTCAAAGAGCTTAACCCCATGTGTTTAATCTGGTTCAGTTCATATGAACAGAGACTTGCCCTTACCTGACATAACTGATACATAAAATATGCGTTGAGAGCTCTGCTGCTGACATCCAGAATGGACATATGAAATGTTTGCATTACTCACTTTTGATCTCTTATCTTCAGAGGAACTGCTGCAGAGAAGCAGATGTGCTGTAGTTCCCAGTAGTCATGATGCTGCATATGCTATTGGCAAAAGTTTAGGAGCCAGGATTTAGGAAAACTGCTGCAAGCTGTAAACTGGGAGGAGGAAGCACCTCTGCCTGAAGGGAGGGGAGCTATAGAAGCCACCTGTGTTGCAGTTTGGGCATATGAATGTGTCTGCACCTCAGACTGCCCAGTTCCCCATTCAGCCCTGTGCCAGCTCAATCTTTGCTGGAACGTATGGAGTCTTATTTACAGTGCTGTGTGTGGATACTGCCTCTTCACTCCAGCAGGGTGCTGGTATTCTTTATAAAGCTACATCTCTGACAGTGAATAGCTATTAAAATCATTAGTACGTATGTAGAAAAACTTTTCTACCTTTTTTTTTTTTTATCACTAGTTGGTAACAGTGACAAGTCAACTTTTTCACCCGTAACTTTTACATTCCTGATAGAGATATTTCCCCATAATGAACCTGTCAGTTTTTAAAGAGATAACCTAGTAGTTCAGACTATAAGCTAACCATAGGTGTAAATATAACAATGCTTTGTAAGGAAAATATTTATTATTCAGGGTGACTTGGAGGCATCCATTTGCTTAGCTGGGTGAAATAAGTGGTGGGATATTTCAGCTGTTTGGAAGAATTGCTGAATATGAAATGAAACAAGGTCACTCCTTAATAGTTTTTTTGGGCTTCTCTTTCAGCTAGAGAGACTTAAGAGAGAATGCAAGTCCAAAAAGACTTCTGCTAAACCAATGAAAGACAGCAGGTTCCCTGTTAGTGAGGTTAAAGTAACAACTACAGTAACCACAAAAGGAAAGAATGCTGGTCCCATCAAAGTGAAACCTGGAGAGAAGAGTCGCAAGAATCTTCAGTTGTTGAGAGACATGCAGACCATACAGACTTCACTACAGAAAGATGATATCAGCTGGGACTACTGACTGTTCTGCAGAGGTGTTCTTGAACTGTCCCAAACTGGCCAAACTTTCTCACAATCTGGATATAAAGCAGCTGCCTTTCTCGCTGTGTGGAAGAGACTACCATACGCTAAGCGCACTTTTGAAATACAGGCTCTTAGTTCTCCATCACTGCATTTGATTGTATATATTATGGTCTAGCTTAAAACACATTCCATTTTTAAGCACCCAGCCACTGAGTTGAATAGTAGGGTCCCTTATGTTGTGATTCCAGCATTCCCTCCATTTTCCTTCAGCACACCAAGCACCGCACATTTATGTGGGTTGGTGTGTGTGTGATGTGACAGTGCGATTTCACACTGCTGTTGAACTGGGAGGCTGCTCAGGATGAATCTTCTTTGAAATCGATGCTGCAGCCCTGAGTCTTAAGGGCTTTTTGTCAGTTCTGTGTGCAGCTGCAGTGACTCTATCTCTCGGGGAACATCTTTTAAAGGTGTTCTGTGGAGCTTTCTTCAAAATGCTTTCCCAGTTCCCCTTCTGCTCCATTGCATTAGTCAGCATGAATGGCAGAGGATGTTTGAGTACTCAAAAAAGGAGCAGAATAATTTATGAATTATGTTGCTTAATGATCAAAGGATATTTTTCTACAGAAATCCTACTTTAGGGAAAAGGTATAGGATAGGGGATAACACCCCGTTTCTCGTTCACAGCTTTGTGTGGTAAAGGAGTGAGATAAACCACAGGTATTTTAAACTGCAAGTGCCTCAATCATGCCTTTCAGTCCTGGCATCTTGCTTTTAACTTGAAATATGTGCTTTGATGAGCTATCTACTTTGGTAGTGGTGCAATTAATTTTGTGCTCTGACTTGCACAGCTGAGTAAATTTTATTTATTATGTTAATAATTTAAAGAATTTCCTATTAATGGAATGTACAGAAGACCTAGATTACTTGTATATACAGTGGAAAAACAATAAAGCCAGCTTGCCTGTTGAGTGAATTGTGGGAAACCTGCACTTCCTCTACATTAGCTTGGTGTTTGCTGCGGCACTGCGCCTCATCCAGTGCCCTTTTTGTGGTGAGCTGACTTCTCCCTGGTCAGGGTAACACAGGTAAGGTGAGGGTCACAGTTGTCCACGCTTGCCTGGAGCTGAACAGGGAGGGAGCTCTACAGTCAACACAGGTACAAGGGATTTGAGTTTCAGTTATGTGTAGGTGATCCACCCTGCTTGTCTCCTTGCATTGAAGGCACAGAAAGTGTTAGCTGTGATGGGAGAAGTCAAAGGCTGTTAGCCAAGTATAGTGGGAGTAACCACTTGGAGAGCAGTTCATCCCAGAGGTCTTGAAAAATCAGTAGCTGAAACTTACACTTGGTCATTTTGCTTAGGAAGGACCTCTGGAGATCAGCTTGCTCAGCTGATCGCTGTGGTTAACTTGAGCACAACCTCAGGCTGTCCTCGTGCAGCTCCTTACTGATGGAGGGCTTAGGAGTGTTTTAGGCTCCATCTGTGCTGCCTACAGTGTATGAGATGCCCAAGTTGGAAGCCTGCTAGGTGTGAGAGCATCAAGGAGCATCCAGAGTAGATCCCAAATCATCTCAGTGAATTTGGGTTTGCATAAGTTACATACAAAAATGTGAATGCTCCTTTTACACAGAAGTTACTCTGCCAATGCACCGTAAAGTGCAGAAATGGTGGAGGTTTTTTTAGTTGTGTAAGTATTTCAGAATACTTTGTGTGAAATACTTTCACAATTAAAAAATCAATTTCTGCACTTCACAGTGTATTAGGACAGTAGGTTCTGAGAGAGTTGGAGTTGTTCAGGCTGGGGAAGAGGAGGCTCTGGGGAGATCTTACAGCACCTTCCAGTACCTAAAAGCTGTAGAGGGCATGTAGTGATAGGACAAGGGGAAGTGGCTTTCAAGTGAAAGAGGGTAGGTTTAGATTAGGTATTAGGAAGAAATTGATTACTGTGAGGGTTGTGAGGCACTAGCACAGGCTGCTCAGAGAAGTTGTGGATGCCCCATCCCTGGAAGTGTTTAAGTCATGTTGGATGGGGCTCTGAGCAACCTGGTCTAGTGAAAAGTGTCTCTGCCCATGGCAGAGGGTTAGAAACTAGATGGTCTTTAAAGGTCCCTTCCAGCCCAAACCATTCTGTGATTCTATTTTTATAATACTGAGCAGCTAAGCACTGTATCTGTATTAAAGCTGGTCTGTGTCGGATAAGAGAAACTTGTCCAAAGATTAGTTTTGTTTTCCTGTCATTCTAGATTTTAGAGTTTGAAAATTAGCATCTTGCAAGACCACCTGCAGAAAAATGAGGGAGATTTGGATTTCACATACTAAACTTGCAATGCTATTTTGTTTGCATGTTCTGCAAGTCCTTTGGAGGACCACACTGTTGAAAGTAAGAGCACAGGAATGTTACCCTTTTATCAGTTTTTATTAGTGTTAACGAAACCAAACAGCCTTCATCAAGAAACAAAATATACACACATAGTCAGTTTGCTAATATGGAAGAATGCTATGAACCATCTTGTATAGTGATTGTACGTAAGAGCAGATCTGCCCTTTACCTTAAAAGCAAATCCAAGTCCTTCAGAAGTATTTTGTGTGGATTCTTTTGCACTGTTGAACCATAATGTCTCAGGCCACCCTATAACAAATGTGCTGATGCTGTACAGCTGTTTTCATCTTGTCAGAAGGTGGCTGTGGATTTCTCTGTAAAGCATGGAGATGGTGATTGCAGTATTATAGCAGGCAAAAGTGGAGGCTGCAGGGGGAAATTACTGTTACTGCCTGGGAAGGAATGTGGCTTTTGAAAGGCAGTATCTTATGTGGAAATTGGTCCACTCTTGTACTCTCTTGGAAGGCCCTTCTCTATAGTGGAAGAGCAGCTGAGTGAAGCAGCATGCTGACAGGTGACCACAGTATGGGATGCTGTCATAAAAGAGCAACACAAGAACCCCCACCAAGCAGTGCCCTCCTCCTTAGCATGGAAGTGAGAAGCAGCCTTGCACATAGCTAAGTGCCTTCCCTGTAAGCTCAGTCTTCTACAGCCCTGTGTTTACCTGTTTGGAAGAACAATGGGGAAGTCATGGTTTTACCAAGTGTGTATTTTATCCCCCGTTTTGCAGTAAAATTTTATATTAAAACTGAATTTCAACTTGAGTTTAGTCAAGTGATGCTAATTCTTGAAGCAGACTACGCTGAAAAAGGCCTAAATGTAGAGCTCAGAAACTGGCTAAGATGTTAGGTCTGCCAGAATAACCTTAAGCAGCAGTTGGAATGCAGGCAAAAAGGCGTCTTTGGTTGATGTACAGTTGTTTTCATTAGTTAACAACACCGAAATACTGTAAGTACACCACTATGATCCTGCACAGAAGCATTAAAGTCACTAATTATGCTTACCCAAGCAAAATGTAATGGCTGATCCCAGCAGTTCACACATGCCCTGTGGAATTCCACTACCTTTCCCCTGGTGACTATGAGGCACAGGAGGCCAGAGGAGCTGTGGAAAGCCCAGGGGAGCCACGTTGTGCTCCTCCCTCCCTAGGAAATAAAGGTGCTTAAGTTGCATCCTGGCACACCCACTGTAAACTGTAAGTGAGATTCTAGAGTTGCAGGGATGGAAGTAAACATCCTACAAAATCAGGTCCTGTAGGTTTCTCCTCTACCATTGTGTTTATTGGGAGGAGCTGCCCTTTCTTTAAGGCATCATTTGCATGGCTTCCTATGATCTAGATCAAGGTGAACGGAGTGATATGTTTCAGACACTATCACTGTTTGTCTCCAAGTGTGCTGGCAAATGCCCTCATTCACACTGCTGTGCAGACATTAATAGGAGAGGGTTTGTGCTGTTACAGCTGCATTTCAGGCTCCAACACAAAGTCAGATTTAGTCTTTCCTTTAAGCAAAGGGGAGACCTTTCAAACTTCTGAGTTGATGTTTTTCCTCCTTAGTACTTCATTCTAGTGCAGCGTCTCTCTTTAAAGCCAAGTGATTTCCAGCACATCAGTGAGCAAAGAGCAATTTAGTTTTCTTTTAGGTGGCAAGTGCAATTGGCTTGTATTATAAGCTAGCCACTGAGAAGATTTAATTGCATAGGGGGCCTTGTCTGTTGTTTTTTGCTTAAGCTTTCTCTAGTGCTACAGTACTAATAAATTACCCTGGAGAGAAATAAATAAATAGGTTGGCATCCCCCAGGTACCATGCTGGAAATCCAGAGGGCTTCAGAAAAGTTGCCCCCGTGGTCCTGGGAAGGTACTCAGCAAGAAGTCTGTATTATACAACTGTCTGTACAGGAGCAACACACTGTGCAGGAGAGCCGGCTCTCTCTGAGGATGAGGTGGAACGGTTGGTGATTTCTCTCTGCAGTTCCTCTACTTTCTTCTGCAGCTCGGCCCGCTTGGCCAGAAGCTCCTTGTAGCGATTATGGACAGGTTCCTGTAAGAAAACGTGTAGCTGAGTGCTGGGAGGTAAGTGTGGAAGTGGAAGCCCGAACCACAAAACACTGTTGCTGACCTTACACACAGCTCTGAGAGAAGGGGGGGGTCATACACGAGTATTATGAGTCACACGCCTGGGGTACAGCGTAGTTGCTCTGGCTTTGAGATGCTCATTTTGATCCAATGTGCACAGTGCAATGGTGGCTAAACAAAACAGTGTATATGTTGAAAGATGACAATTGCCAAACTGACGTTTCTGGGGGATGCTGGCCATGGCATATTGGCCTGGACATTATTTCAGAGTTTTAGGGGAAAAAAAAAAATACAGATTCATCTAAATGTTTTTGCATGGTTCTGACTGTAAAGTGGTTGTTTGGTTCCTGTATCTAACACCCCAGAATTGCAAAGCTGTCAACTGCAGTTGGGCACAGAAGCAATCTGGGAAATTTTGTCCCTTCCTCCTAAAAAGTGATGTCAGCCTTCAGGGCCATGTTCAGTGTGCTTGTTTGAGGTGCCTGCCCTGGGGTGAGCCAGTGTCCCTGCTGGCTGGGGTCAGGGGTGTAACAGGGCTGCAGCCAGACCCCTGTGCCTCAGGCAGCCAAAGCAAAGCACCAGGTTCTTGTTGCTAGTAGCCTAAATAGAGTCCCAAAAATCCTATCTAGAATCCTACATCCAGGGAAGTCTTGGGATTCTTTTGTGAAGAGAATTCAGAGGTTTTTCCCATATTCTAAGTGAGAAATTTTCCACATTGCTGAGTATATCCAGCTCCTGCAGATTTCACAAGCTGAGCACCTACACCAGCCAGCTGTAGGTGCTGCTCACTCTTGCTGGCATTTGAATTTAGGCTTTTGTTTTTAAATTTAAGCAGTGGCAGCATAAGTTTATACATCTCGTGCTTCAAAGATCTTGAACTCCAAAATAACAATATCAGTACTAGCACAGAGGGAAACAGATGTAGGATTCGTGGAAGACACACCTGAGGCTTCATCCTGGGGTTCCAGCGGATGTAGTAGCCGACCCACAGCTCGAGGTGGCGCATGCTGGCCACAGGATACAGGACATGGTTGGAGTAGCTCACGTACAGGGGGTTAGTAAAGTCTTCCAGTTGGCTGTTGATGTAAGACCAAAGTGATACGGTCTTTTTTGGAAGGCTCTGTAAGGGAAGGGGGTGGAGGAAGCTTTATTTGCCGTACAAATTCCAGTTATCTACAAACTGTAGCAGCATAGACATATGCCTGTCATTAATACGGAGCTGGTTGCTTTTTTGTAGCTTAAAAACCCCCAAACCTGTTCTTTTGATGTGGTTATTGTACTAAAAGCACATGGATGCAGGCAGGCATACACATGCCCTGGCACAGAACAACCCCTCTTAACCACCCAGCTGCCAACACAGACCAGGAATTGCCATTGGCACAGCAAGAGGACACTAGCATGTGAACTCTCAATGCTTTAGTTAAACTTCACTTCTTTAAAGTGCTCCTCAAGGACTTGCTGGAGTATTTAATTGCAAAGGAAATGAAGAAAACATTTGACTTAGGCCCTGATCGAGTGGAATAATTAGAC